CCCCAAAACCCCAAAACCCCAAAACCCCAAAACCCCAAAACCCCTTTGGCCCAAATTGAATGGAAATAGCAGAATGTGAAACTTAAATGAAATAAATCTATCTTATCATGAATCTAAATCTGCTGCTATTCAGTAGAACCCACCATTGGCAGTAGTATCCACGAAGATATAGTTTTTCGATAATTTCTAAATATCCTTTTCTAATTAGGCAAGTTCCTTCTCGCAGCTCTCTTTCTTAGATTTCTTCCCAATAGTATCAATCTTCTGAATGTGAGTGATCTACTGATATTCTTTATGTACAACTTCCCACTTTTTCTTCAAGGCCGCAATCAACTGTTGTCTTTCTTCATCTTCAAGCAAGAATTTCTGCTCATCTCTTTCATTTTCCTCTTCAATTTGCATTTCTCTTACTAACTGATACTCATCTTTGATTTCATTCTTTATCTTTTAAAGGAATGCAGGTGTTTTCCCGTAATTCTTTTTTTTCAAGTAATCCTTATCCCTATTCGCTGGCAGTTTAGGAGCTATAGTGAATTAATAAGATTAAACACATGTTGAATGAAGCAACTTACCAGCTAAAATGTTTTCAACTGCATTAGCGACAATGAAGTTCTTATCTGAAACTAATCCATGGATTGGCTTCTCATCCTTCTTGGGAACTGGTGGTCTTCTAGAATCATCATTGTACTTGAACTGTGTAGCTACAGACAAGACAGTTAGCAACACCATGAATGAGGTAAAGAAGTAGTAGTTAAGTCTTACCTTAAGGCAGTGTCATTGTGCCTGTGCCCTTCTTTTGGAATAGAGTGGTATCAGGCTTAAGAGCTCCTTTAGGCTTTCCAAAAGTTAGACCAGCCCCTTTGCTAGTATGATTGCTTCCCTGAGGTTAGATTTCTCCATTTAAGTTAGCAACACCTGGTTTGGATGTTGACTTCAAACAGAAAGTGCTTCCAGTAGGTGGTACGTGATGAGGGTGGCTAGATTTATATCTCTTGGGCTTGGGTGGTTCGTAACGTTCCTTTGGAATTAAATTGTAAATGCTCTCATCGTATTCCATTTCAAAGAGAATTTATTTTTATTATTGAAAATATGAAGACATCCTATTTATATTTCATTAGACCTTATCCTTTTTCTAGATAAAATTGATTATTTCTTCTAACGGGGTTTTGGGGTTTTGGGGTTTTGGGG